AAAAGTATACGATTTAAGACGGAATGAGTTCCATCTCAGTGCCAATAGTACCATCTTAGTACCAACAGATTATTCTGCTGATCCCGGATAATATGCAAGTTAGTATCGAGCTGGTCTCGTTTACTATCTGATTTTTTACTGAAGGTGAGCATCGGATAAATTGACTACTGCTACATTTTTTAATCTCCTCTTGTGTTGTATGCTACTGAAAAGACTTTGTAAGTAGTATATCGTGTGTGATGCCTTCCGGAAGAATACTGAATAGCAAAGCAATGAATTAAATCGGGAAGTGACAGATTCTTGTGAAACAGTTTGCAAAACATGAAAATAAAGGCGAAAGGAGCACAGAACAAAGAACATAACGTGCAAATTGGAGATTTCACTGTGTTGGGGGTTTAAGCGTTTTATCACAACTGTTCAACATTTTGTCAAATAAACAATCCCTTGTCAGATACTACTGTGTTTTGCGGTTTAACATAAACGTCAATATATATATATATATATATATATATATATATATATATATATATATATAGGGTACAGTGCATGTGAATAGTTTATAAAGCCTGAAGGTAAACGGGTCTACATAATAAAACTAATGAAATTCATGGCCAACTCTCACTGAAATAACAACATCTGTGATAAGATCAGCTTACAGCTTCTTAGCCATAAAACTAAAATTGCAAATTTGCCATGTAAGCTATTTCAAAAATGGCTTGATTTCACTTCTCTAGAATTTTAGATTGATTTACACATCCCTAGTTCAGTTTCATGTAACCTAATATTAATTAAATTTTGTTTGCTAGAGAAAAAATAAAACATTATTTTGAAAATATATTTCCTGTGGAAAAAAAAATGAGGCAAGATATTGTCCTAGAATCACATATTGAGCTTGAATGAAAAGAAACACACACACACAACAATTTTTCAAGTATTGGTTAGTAGGGATTTGATTGATTGGTTACCGGATGTCATTATGAGCTGACATCGGTTAGAGAACCATTGGAAAACCGACCAGGGAATACTGCCAAACGGCTGTTTACTCCTAGTTTGGGACTCCTCAGCGGCGGGCACCCACTGCTAGAGTTCGAACCGAGGACCTCTTGGTTACAAGGCCAGATAGCTTGTATACCATTAAACCACTTAGACCCACCGATCCAGTGGCCGCTTCTGTCAATTCATGCAGGTATTACTGGGTCGTTAGGTTCCAGTGGCTTAATGGCCTGCGGGCTCGCTGGCCTTGTAATCAGGAGATCCTGGGTCCGAGCTCTGGTGCGGGATGTGTACTGCCTATCGGTCTCAAACCAGAAGGAGACAGCTGTCTAGTACTTCCAGGTTTTCAATGACTCTCTAACCAATATCAGCTCATAATGAGATCCTGTAACCAAACAACAACTCTCACTTGTTTTGTTTTTCCTTCTTTTGTATTTCGAGTGAACCATAGGGCTTCAAACATGAGCTTTTAAATTTCAATAGCTGTAGTGTTTTTTATTACGCATCAGATTTATAGCCTCACGTTGCACCTTCTGTCCCTGTTGGACTTACTACCAGTGAAGCGAGATTTAATAGTACTTCAAATGGGAACCAATCCCGGACCACTCAGCCATCGACATGTAAGGGGTCGAACTCAGGACCTTCAGCTAGAAAGGAGAGATACTTGACCATCCAACCACTGAAACACTTTTATTTATTACTGTCGATATAAACTGGTTTTTACGTCAACCCTTGATGGTGAGTAATAACAGTTAACAGTAGAAAAATGTAGAATAAAACTAGGATTATTTCTTTGAAGTCACAGACCCTAATTATCGTTCAGATCACGATTTTGAAAATCCAGGAAGATGGCATGAATGGAAACGAAAATAAGTGAATACGTTTAAATTTCAGTTAAGATTTCGTCACAAACGAAAAATTCTTAGAGAATAGCTGAAAAACAGGGAGTGGCTTAGAAATCTTCTGTTATTGCTTAAGGATAAACAGCGGTGCATATCTCTAACATTCGAACAAAGGCCTTCAGGTTAAGCACCAATTCACTGATTATGCATTCATTGCTTTTGAGTTTAATGAGCCGTAAACTCACAACCTCAAGGTCCAGGACTCTACCCTTGGTAGGGTCATTAATGCGCTATACTGAGGATCACCAACTTGCATAGTGCCTGAATGTTTTTAGCGGTTCTGTAACTAATGTCACTTTGTGATGAAATCCAAACCGAAACTAATCGAAATCTTTAGAAACCCTGCATGTGAATACCGCCCGAATGTCAGAATGACTTAAGATGGGTACTCTTCGTGAGACTGAAAAATATTGAGAATATTTTTAAGCTTTATGAACCCATAGTCACGAATATATCATTCAAGGGAATGATTTCATATGCAATTAGTTGGTTTCAGATCAACTTTTTATTGCTGATTAGTGTCAATAAAGAAGGATTAACGCACTGAAAAACGTTCATATCCCTTTTCTTTCTAACTGATCAATTGTATGAATAAAATTGATCAGTTGAACCTCACAATTAACATTTTATCAGTCAATGTAAATGACTGAAACTCATTGGTCTACATTTACCAGTTTGCATTACCTCGGCACAGACTATGTCACCAATGGAGACTCATTTTCACATGCAACTTAGTTGACTATACAAGTTAATTTTTTTCTTTAGAAATTTTCGAAAAGCCTATTCCAGTCACAGTTATTAAGGAGTAACTGATCGTTTTACTATTTGGACTGATGTTGGTGAGAGAACCGCTGCAAACAAGCAGGGTGTACTGGACAGCTATTTCATCCTAGTTTGGGACTCAACGGCACTACGCATCCACCACCGGGGTTCGAATCCAGGACTTCACGGTTATAAGTCAAGGTAGTAGACCATTCCGCCACTGGGACCTGATTCAATGGCCCATGAATTCTAACTTCTACTAATTCGTGAACTTAGCATGACCACCAGTTAGCTTCACAATAGTTTTAATTAGAGAGATTGGCTAAAGCTGTACAATAATAATTGACCTTGATGAAGTAATACATGCTTACATTCAGCACTCTGCTTCAAAGCTATTAATTCCATTCCCTTATGACGAAGATGTGCGATAATCTGTGGGTCGTCCTAGGGTGACATAGAGGAGGTCGTAAGAGGAGGAGATGAGAGATTATGGGCGATTGTGGATGCGGCTAAAGACGATGGCAAAAAATAGAAGGAAGTTGAGATGTGTTACTGAAGCCATATGTTCAACTCGGAACATGGAAGCTTGTTTATTGAATTCTAGGAAGAACATAAGCATACTTTGATCAATGATAAATGTAGTCTGAAGAGTACACCTAATAATGGAAATAGAGAAAGAGAAATCGTACAGGTCGTGAGATTCTCGTGAACTTCTATCATGGATGAATTGTGATAGTGTGTTGAGAAAACACAAAGGAAGCATTATGATTTACAGATCAAATTATTTAGTTTTCATTATACGCGAATATAGGCTAAGGTTTAGAAAAGAGTGTCATTCACCAAAATGTACTGAAATCTTTCGTGTCCTTGTCTCACATTCCAACTTTATCGTGTTTTTGACTGAAAGGTATCTCCAAGGCCCTCTTAATTTTTAATTTTTCCTTCACGTTCCCAGTGGAACATAGGGCTCCAAGCTAGTGGCTTGAAGTTTCTGTAGCAGTGTTTAATTTTTACAGGATGGGGTTGCTAGCCTCATGTCCAACCTTTCCTCTTTACCAGCATTATTTCTGGCTCAGTGAGGTAAAGGAGTGCGTCGGCCGGGGATAGAACCCCGGACCATATGCATGGTCGGCGAGCGTGCTAACCGCTATACCACCGACGCTCTTACACATTCAAAATATAAACGAGCTTTGTTTAACTCTGTTATAGCTTCGTATGAAACCTCACTACTATTAGCTACAGTCTACTTGACTCGATAAATATAAATTGTGTTTTGACACAATATAAGCTACCGACAGGTAAATGATGGCTGACAGTGACGTTGGAAAACAAAGATGAGGTGTAAACTTCATTTTAATAGTAATAAGGTGGACAGGGGATTGTTTGATATAGTCGGAGTCTGAGTGAAAAATAAGTTGCTCACACTGACGAATATACATAAATCTACACTTCTATGTAAACTGTCATCAAATGAATTCATAAACAAATACTTTTGAATTGATTAGAAGTTAAAAATATCAGCTTTATGCATTTCGAATGCAATCCAAGTATAGTTATAATTAATTGTTAAACAATGTGAACAATTATTCATTCTTAAGTATTGGTTTAGTAGGGATTTTGTTTGATTGTATGGAGGATTTCATTATGAGCCGACATCAGTTAGAGAACCATTCGAAAAACTGAGAGTGCTGGGCAGCTGTTTCGTCCTAGTTTGGGTTTCCTCATCAGTACACACCCACTGTGGTTCGTACTGACGATGAGTCTCAAACTATGAAGAAACAGCTGTCCAGTGCTCCCTGCAGGTTTTCCAAGTGGTTCTCTAACTGATGTCAGCTCATGATGAAATCCTCCATACAACTATTGATCCGTAGAAAATCGTGGTGACTGAAGCGGGGGAAAGAATACGCCCTGAAGCTGGATTCAAAGAGATACACTCCAGGTGACTGGATTGCAAATGAAAGTAAAATTTTAAAACATTTACTCGCTTAATGTCATAGCTCCAGTGATAGTTCACTTTCCTCTTATAATCCAAAGTTTGTTTACATTTCAATGCTTATTCTCTCAGGCTAAAATAGTTTGTCAAATCAGAATATCAGGTGCTGAAAGCATGTGTATACAGGACCTGGTCGCCAAAGATAACATAAAATAATAATTCCTGAACACTGTCGGGATATTCTCGTTAAGAGATCAATAAGAATGCAGATGACAACTGTCTAACATTTGATCAAAAAATTTTTTGATAAAGACGGAAAGGTAAAACCATCTTCATTTAACACATAAGTACAAATTTATACACCTCGAAAAATAAATGACACACGCACACATACATACACATAGACTTACATGGTGAAATATCACGGTAACGATTCTTTATTGAATTTTCACTTAACCGAGACACATTCATAGTGAGACCAGATTTTCGTCTAGGCAAATGCTTTAAACGTAGATGTATTGAAGGAAGAGAACAAAGATAATGAGTCAAAGTAATTAATTTAAGTATGTGTTAAAGTATATCAGTAGTAATTGCATAACACGATGAAATTTAATAGTAATAATTTGCTTTATTCCAAAACAGTACTTGTAATACTGAATGGAATTCTCAACATTTTACTACAGTATTGCATTCAGTTAGTAAATTAACAATAAATAAAATTCTACATAGATTAAGGGTAATCTCAGTTCATTTTGACAACATATTGGCATGTCGGTAGCAAGCCAAAAGTGAACACAGTGTTTGAAGGTGTTAGAAAAGTAGATACTACTAGCATATTTACTGGCATAAGAGGTAACAAAAAGGTCGAGATATACAGAGTGTGAAAGAACGAAGAATGTTTTAAATAGAGCTTGTAAAGAAGAGAGAAATAAAACAGAAACAGATAATCCGAATAAATCTGCTGAAAAAGCTGTGGCTTACACGGCGAAACGTTCAGAAAAATCTTGTTTTGATTTTCTTAACACGCTGGGATTAATTTAAATAATTTATAATGAAAACAGCACATAACAAAAAAAGAGAAAAGGGAAAGAAAGAAAGAAAACGTTGTACCTATAAATGGTATGAGTTGAAAAGACGAGATCCCATTGTTCTACTGATTATTCAATAAGTTATAGGTATCACGCCTAATGCTTTCTTTATCGCACACAACACGAGCTAAGTAGGTTATGGTTGAGTTTTTGTACTTGCTGGTGCGAGCATATAGTTTTCTATTTAGGATTCTGGTTCTGCCTGAAGAGATACAAGGGGAGAGTTGTGAATGAAGAGGGTGTTGTGAGTTAGATAAAATGGATTTAGCCCATTTTTCATATGAGTCCAAGTGCCTGTCGATCAGAATATTAACAAGCTGGTTAAGTGGCACGTAGCTTACCCTGCTGACAACCTTTAACATCCTGCGTACTATGGTATAGTCTCTCTTCAGCAGCCCAGGAAAAACTAAGAAGGAACAATAGATAGGCAGGATGCAAGAGTTAACGAATCATAGGAGTAAGAGTTGGGTTATTCCAGAATGTCTTAACTTCTTGATGTAAAAGGTGAGACGGAATATTATCCTAGAAATCATGAAGATATGAGACGACCAGGAAAGATCAGCAGATAGAATGACGCCTAGGTATTTACTTTCCGACTTGGTTTCTATTTCAGTGCCATATAAATAACACCTTTCTCTACTAACCCCCTTCTTTTAATTTATTCAGTACTCTCTCAATACTCATTTTTTTTATCACACGTATACTGAACCATTCATTTCATTTCAGAGTGACTAAGAGCTGCTCCATTGATGTGTTGTATATCACAATGACTCAAAGAGCTACACTGACTGGAAATAAGGTTCCTGCAGGTAGAAGAGATATAACAATCATTGATTCATTCATGAAGTACTGGAATACAGAGAATGTCGTATGAAAACGCTATCTTCTTCTGTCTAAATGGAGATTCCCTGGTCAAATGGTCGAAAGTGTCACTATCATTTGTGTGAAAAAACACATGGCATATACGAGTATTTTTGTTTTATAGAAATGGGTATATGTACGCAATCGGGTTACTGTTCTGATAACAGGTGGATTATAACAAAACAATTAGTGTCTAGATTTGATGAGCAAAGTTCGACGGTAGATTAGCACGAAACAAAACTCCTATTTTTGACTTAGTGTTTCTCTTATAATAACAGAAAATTAATCCTGCAAGTACTGGGGAGCAGTTTCATCCTAGTTTGGAGTTTTTTATAGTACCCACCCACTGAAGTTCGAACCCACGACCTTCTAGTTACAAGGTCGTAGACCATTCAGCCATTGGGACCCGCCGTTCCAATGGTCTTTGCATGAATTCCAACTTGCGCCAGTTCACTAAATGGCATGAACACTAGTCAGTGTCGTCCTCACACCCAACCTGCAGTATCCCATTGGCCACAACTTCCCAGGGAACTACCTACCTGAATAGGGACAGTCACCAGTGAGCATCAGACTGATATCCAAGTGTTGGTTAGCAGGGATTTGATTGGTTTGAGGATTTCATCATGAAATGACTCCATTTAGAGGACCACTGGAAAACCTGGAAAAACTGTTTCGTCTCACTAATTTGGGACTCTTCAACAGTACGCACCCACTGAGTTTCATACCGACGACCTGCTGGCTACCGATGTCAGTTCATGACGAAATCCTGAAAGCAATCAAATTGGACATTTAGACATTTAGGCTCTAGTTTTCTGAGTCTTACTATTTACCTAGTGATTATTAATCAACAACGGGTGATAATAGCCAATATTTTGGCTTGGTATTTTGTCCTATTAGTGATTTACACACGTACTTAGAAGAGATTTTTGCACAAGCATGGCAGAAAAAAATTCCACTTGATGTGAAAGCACAGTCTCATAGCTATATATATATATATATATATATATATATATATATAGAATGTTAAAGATGCATTTCCGCTCAGCAGAGCACTAAAACCAGACTTAAAATTGGGATGACAATATATTACGTAGTAAGGAAGAAAAAAAATGATTTTAAGAATGTAAGGAAATTTGGAGATAGAGTAAAATTGATCACCAGTTGGAAGGAAGTAGCTCTGTTGACAAATTTAAATACAGATATATGGGCAGAAAGTCAAACAGCGTCTTTTCTTTTGTTGTAGAAACTATTGCTGAAATTAGAAATGACCTTGTAATGCCGAGAAAAAGTTTACTGTTTGTTAGCTGAATAACTAACTTTCACATGTATTTGTGTACAAAAAAGATTCGGGTTCGAACCCTGGTGGGTGCGTACTAATGAACAGTCCCACACTAGGCTGACGAAACAGCTGTCCAGTACTCCCTGCAGGTTTTCCAATGGTTCTTTAACTAATTTCAACTCATGATGAAATCCTGTAACCAATCAGTTCCCTACAAACCAAAACTTGGATACTATTGTTGTTCTAACTCGTTAACGGGAAGTCACTTCAAGAGACTTTATGAGTTCACATCGAAGGATAAAAATTCCATTATATCATATTTGGTGGCATGTATTTTTGATGGTGATGAAAATAGTGTTAGGCACGAAATAACTAATTAACCAGCTAACCTTCTTTCCACTAGTAAATAAACAATTTTTCCCATCTTTAAACCATGAAGCTTGATTGTTACTCTTCTTCTTCTTATATTTATATAGTCCTCTCATTTTTATTTTGTTTATTTCTTCCTAAGTGTAAACATCGTTCAAGCTCTGAAATAATCGTTATTTACTTTTTTTGTATTTCCCTTACCATGCTATGTCAAGAGGACATTAGATTCAATACTCCTGCAACATGCTAAAATTGACATATTGTATCGGCAATATTGCTTAAAACAAACCCACTGTTATTATTGCCATTATTATCATTATTATAGTTATTATTCTCATTTTATTCTCTGCACAATTTTGACGACAATATTCCTACTGTAAATTTGGAAATGTTCCTGTGGTTATTTTCATTCATATTTCAGTGAATTAGATGCAATATTGTGACAAATGCTGAAAATTCCATACTGTATTTTTTAATAGGATCTCGTATAAAATAGTATAGCATCTTTTCTCACACATATTGTGATTGATCAATATAGGATCAATCATTTCTCACAGCTGTGAGCCGACCTTTATTGTAGTAAGGATAGTGTATAAGAATCATGTATACTTTTCCAAATAAATGTACAGTACAGTATCTTACAGTCACAGGCATAGGCCAGCTTTTGTCTTTTGATATTTGTCTGGCCCAGTGAATCGGAAGGTACAGCGGACAAATAGGCCTATTATTGTATCGGATATAATAAAGTGGCGACTGGTTTATTCAGTTCAGTGCAGTTCTAACACTATTATAAGTACTGTTTTTGGAACAAAGCAGATTATTATTATTAATACTGATACCAGATTATCATAAGTTGGATGCCCATTACTAATTAACTTGCTTACTGTTAGAAAAAAAGTAGGAAATTAACTTGTAATGAGAAAGACTTTCTTTACAGCTCTCCTTTGATTTTTAGCCGAGATGTAGTCAAATCAGTACTATGCTACTAAAATGGGTATCTTTTATTCCGTATACCGCCATATGGCTTATAGAGTGAATCAAAATGTTTAGAGGTTACTTCTAGGCAGTGAGCATTGTTTCAATCACAGCCGGCAGAACAGACGAAGATGTCAAAGCTAGACAGAATCGGAAAGGCAAGATACAACTTCATCAACCTGAAACTAGTTTAGAAATCCTCAGCTCTCACTCAGCAAAAACAACAAGATTCGGATCTTCAAAACAAATGTGAAGTGAATTTTTCTATACGGGTCAGAAACTTGGCATGTGTGTCACGGAAAGGATTTCCAACAAGTTACGGACTTTTATCAACAGCTGCCATCGCTCTTTATTGGAGATCAAATGGCCGGGCGGCCAGAAAGAATTCATAACAAGAAACTCTGGCCGGCAACGAAACAACCAAGAACCAATCGCTCAAAAAATATGTAGGAGAAAATAGAAATGGATCGGGTATATGTTGAAAAGGCCGTCGAATGACATCGCGTGCAGTGCAAGCCATCGCTCGAGTGGAATTCCAACAGGAAGCGAAAGGTTAGTCATCAGTGCGAGAGTGACATGGAAGTGATTGTTCGGGGAGGGGGAGGTGAGATATTATGTTCAATCGTGGACCCAGCTGTAGAGGCCAGAAGAGAATAGAACAACATGGAGATATTTTGTTGAAGCTCTTTGTTCCACTCGGAACCCAGAGACTGATTTCATATCTTCTTTTTGGTAGACTAACAGTCTCAAACAGGTATTCTGCCCACTTTCATAGCTACTATATGGATCACAGACTTGGCGCGTCATAAAGAGCATCTCAAACAAACTAAGGACCTTCATCAACAGTGGTCTTCGCTCATTACTTTGCTCAAGATCAGATGGCCAGAAAAGATCAGCAACAGGGATCTCTGGCAATGAGCGAACCAACC